ATCTCCTGGATTCTTGCTTTGATTTTAGGACAGATAGCTCTAGTCTTTTCTCTCAGGGAAAAAAAAAATAATAGCATCTTGCCTAAACCAGAAACTTCTGAGTGCACAGCAGGATGCCAAATCAGATTCCATCAAATTTACCACACTGCTGACCATTCCGAAGGAAGTCTCAAAAGATGCTCTTGGTTTGTTCAGTAGGAGAGGCACTCCCGGACTTGGGGAAGCAGAATCAAGTGCTCATCAGCAACCTTTCCTCCAGCTCCACAAAAGTATAAGTACAGGATGAGTCTTGGCACATGGAAAGGGTTCTGAAATGCTTTGGGGGTTTCCTATGGCTCCAAACAGGGAAGCCAACCTCTCTGCTTCTGGGAGTACATGCTGAGTATCAAGGCTGCATCACAAAGTTGGATCAGAGAAAAAGAATGGTCTTTGGAAACAATAGCTTCAGATGGTGATCATCCTAAAAACCATAATATTAATCTCTGGGTTACCATTCACCAGCTGTGTGATCCTGGTCTAGTTATTTGACATGGCCCAGTCTCAAATCTCTCATTTGTAAAGTGGGTTATAATAATAACTCCCTTGTGGGATTGTTTCAAGGATGAGCCAGGGCCCTGTATATATTCAGTACTCAGTAGTTGCCTCTCCACTCTCCTTTCCCACTGGAAATCAGTCCACACTCAACCTGTCCAAGGAAGAGTCTCAACAGCATCACTGTAGCATCAACTGTGACGTTAAAGATTATGTTGTAGGGTACAGGCTGATTGGGACATGGCAGAGATCCTCAAAAGATCCTTCGTGACAGAAGAAAAATGTGCTAAGAAATGGCTAAATACCCTATTTTCCTTGTCTGTTCCGCAGACACTAGCTGGAACCCTCACACACCTGGCTTGTGACTCTCCTGGCTGTCACAGCACACAAAGCCCCCTCTCCTACAAGGCCAAACTCTTCCTGAAAATACCAGACCATCCCCACACTCCAGCCCACGGGCTCCATCAAGCAGACCCTGGCAGTCTAGATGGCTCATGGCAGATGGCGCCATGTGGACTAATCAAGAAGTCAGACAAGAAAATCCTACCCCCTTTTCCATTTGCCAGGAAATGCAATTGTTTGGATTTTAATCATAGCCACAGCTAAGAGCCAATGTCTGGCCCTCTAGCCCAAAGATAAATTTTCCACTCCCAACATTCAATTCTTCCTCAAAAAATAGACCCCCTACCAGAGCACTTGCTCCTCAGAAGGGGGCTTCCTCATCCTCCAATATAATTTTTATTACTGAGTTAACACTTTGACAGAAATAAAATACTGTGTGGACATAGCGGCACTCACACGCTGACTCCCACTGGAAGGAATGTCTTCATTCCTCCATAAGTTACATCTAGCTCACCGGTATATTGATCCCAGGCAAAGATGAATGCAGGATCCCATGATCCTCTGTGAGAAATGTGACATTTTCTTTAAATATATATCCATGGAACAACTGTTTCTAAATCCCCACGAAGCAGGTCACCAGGGCAATACACCATTGATTTCACATCCAACGATTTCTTAGAAAGAGCACTGAACATTTTCTCAATAATTCAGCTCACAGCAGACCCTGACATCTTCTGGAGGGACACTGTCTCTGGCCTCCCCTACTTGAAAGGGAAGGCTTCCTGGGAGAGCTATATGCATAAAAGAAAGACCCTAAACCCCCAATCGGTTTGCGATTATGATGGTTCCTCTTCATTGTCAACTTGACTGGATTTAGAATCACCTAGAAGATACACCTCTGGGCATATTTATGAAGGAGTTTGTAACTGAGGAGTAACAACACACCTTAAATGTTGATGACACCATTCTATGGCCTGGGGCCCTGGACTAAATAAAAAGGAGACAGTGAGTGGGACATCCGCATGCATCTCTCTCTGCTTCCTGACTACAGATGCAGTGTGACCAGCTGCCTCACATTCCTGCCACCATGCCTTCTCCTGTCCATGATGAACATTCCCTCAAACCAAAAAAAGTAGCAAATACAGAGAAAATACTGGGAAAGAACCACAGACATACACTTTTTGAAAGCTATGGCAGACTATATGAAACAGGTTGAGAAAAAATTGGGGACAGTTAAGAACAGTGATCCAGGCTTTGAGTCGCCACACTATCACTTATCTAATAGGTAATCTTTTTAAATATTTTTTTTATTATTTTTATTTTATGTGTACAAGTGTATTGCCTGCATGTATGTGAGTGCACCTGTGTCATACAATACTGCAGAGGTCAGAAGAAGGCTTCAGATTCCCCTGGAACTGGAGTTAAGGACAGTTTGTAGCTGCCATATGGGTGCTGAGAATCGAACCCAGGTCCTCTGCAAGAGCAGTCAGTGTTCTTAACCACTGAGCCATCTCTCCAGCCCCCTAATGGATGATCTTAAACAACAGTTTACTCTTGCCAGGCACTTCGGTGTCCTCCAACATGAAGTGGTAAGAATCCCTCTTACAAAATTGTCTTAAGGATTAAATTAAATAACATACATAATTTAATAGATTACTTGACACAGAGCCTGGCACAAAGGAATAACTTAGAAGTCAGTGATCACTACAGTGACCATGTTACTTTACCTCTAAGGTCCTCCATTAAGTTACATATAGTTCAAGATCGGAATGAATAGAAAAGTGTAACAGTCTGACATTAAATGGCTATGACATAGGCTATTTGAAGGGAGGACGTTTTATAAACAGATATCTATTTACCTTTCCTCAGCTCATGTAGGAGTTGTTATTTGTGTCCATCTAGATCTCAGCCATGAACTAAGAACTTGTATCATTAAGTCTACTGGTACCCAGACCAGAACAGTAGGGTAGTAGCTTAGCAGGGAGGATCTCAATTTTAAGAAAAGAAAGCAACCTGTAATAATATTATCCACTTACACAAAAAAGAAGGTCTCACTGTGTAGCCCAGACTAGCCTGCAACTCACTATGTAGCTCAGGCTAACCTGAAACAGTTGATCCTTCTGCCTTCACCTCCCAAGGACTAGAATCACAGGGATTCACCACCAGTCCCAGTTCCTACAACTTTTAAAGTAATAACCTCTGCATATCCTCTCCCTGGGATGGAATTTTCAAATATCATGTGGGCAGTTAGCTCATGAAGACAAGGATAATATGCAAAGTTGTCGTGGGGTAAACGGTTAATGGGGTATGAATATTCTCACTACTAACAGCTCGTCTGAAAAGGTAAGGTTATAACTTATCCATGAACACAGGTCTGGATAGGTAAAAGGCCCATAGCCAAGGCAGAGGTCCAAGACCATTGCTTCTTGGTAAACACTATGATCTGTATACTGAGAATTTGGATCTAAGTCGCCAAGTAAAAAGGAACACATGAGCAGTGTCTCAGAAACCCAGACTCCCTAACTCCATCCATGCCTCAATTCCTTTTCAATTTATTCCTTGATTTATTGCCTTGACATAATATGCTGTCCTTCATGCACAGAGATGACCCTGATGACTCACAAGGCACCGTGAGTTATTTTTTCCAGCAGTGGTCATGAATTTTCACTCATACAGCCAACATTTATTTGCACAAAATGGCTGGCTGGAGTAGGGGTGTGTTGACCAACCTTGGAATGTACCAAAGCTAAGCAGGCCACACACAGATAAAATAAATATATGCCCCACTCCCACTCCCAGAATGCCCAGACTTCAAGCCAAATAAACTGAGAGGAGATCATGAGTAGGGAAAGCATGCAATCTGAAACTGGAAAGCCTGGGTTCAAGTCTCAATTCTGCCAGTTCCTAACAATTCAATTGTGGTTGATTCTTGAGTAAGTTTCTAGGGCTCAGCGTCTTCAACCATAAAATGTGGAAAAATTATATCTACTTCCCATGACTCTTGTGATGATAAATCTAAAATAATGAATAAAAGCATACCTGTCCCTATAAGACACTGTCTTTCCCCCTCCAAGGACATTTGGGGACACAAATCAGACTTTATAGGCTGTATTATATATAAATAAGAGAGTACATTGAATTGGGTTGGGAGGAGGGCAAAGAGAGGAGGTGCAGATAGGGGAGGGGATCTAAATACCATCAAAATATATTGTATGAACATCTCAAAAATTCAATAAAAATCTATATTATACATCTGACAAATGCATACCTGATAAGCTATAAAGTTACATATCATAAATGTTACTAATGTTCTCTATTACCAAAAATATGTAAACTATTACTACTAATTACATGCATATTACAAAACCAAATCCTCAGACAGGACCCCTTTATTAAACTTCATCCACCCAAGGCTCAGGGACCATCTTGGAAAAGGGAGCGGAGACATTGTAAGAGCCAGGGAGGGTGGGCATGACCATATGGAAACAGAGTCCTACAAGCTCCTGGGAACCTGCTCATATGATTCTATGGCATGGGTGTCAGCATACACAAGTCCTATGTAAACTCAGGCAGACAGTGACCCAGTATAGAACTAGGAAAATGAAGGGCAGACCCCAATATTATCTAAAGGAATGTTGGCAACTGATTGCTGCTAGATGAAGAAGAGCTGATCTTCCTAAAACAAGGGACTCTGGATAGGCTGACTAGACTCAGCGAATGGACTTGCACTGGGGAACAGCTGGGGGCACTGACAACACAGCAGGTAGTAACAGGGATGACAGAGTATAATGGGATCCAGTGGAGGGGGCTATGGGAGGGTGCCAGTGGGGATGAGGGTATAAAGATGATTAAGATTGTTTGAAATGTTCTGTATGAAATATACCAAAAAAAATCAATAAAAAAAAATCCTGATAAGAGATGAGAGTCTGTCTTTTGAAACAGATTGTGCTTGGAAGAAGAAACAGAAATTAAGCCCATGAATGGGGTGGGTCACTGAACATGGTATACGCAATGCCACTCAACCTTAGCAGCCCAGCCACCAGGTAGATCCAATGCTTGACACTCCTCCCCATCCAACCATTACCAGTACTCCGCCACCTGGACAAAGCCTTCAATTCCGAACTTACAATTCCCGAAGACTCAGCGTCTGGAAGAGCTGCCATGAGAGTGTGGTGAGCCGGTTACTGGACAGGTTTCTGCAAGATTGACAACAAAGAAGAAGTTAAAGGACAGATTTGGCATCAGTCACGCTCTTGATAGTGAATTTGGTTATCTGGAGCCAGACTTGGTTTTCTTCTTTTCTTCACTCTGTTTTGCTAATGATACATCTGATAAGAGTTGAGTCCACAGGGCAGGTGTGGAAAGGACTCTGAAACCTTCTTAAGGGTAAGGTTTTACACATCCAAGAAACAATACAGCTCTCTTGGTTTTCTCCCATATCTCCCCTTAATAAAAGTTCAGGGAACCTGTTGGATGCCACCTTCTCTAGACAACAGCTCTGACATAGCAGCTTTTACATCCACACAGGTGGGAAATCTTCTAGTGTCTTGTAATTCCTTCCCATCAGCCCCTCCCCGAGAACACAGGCTTATCCAGAGATCAAGACATCAGCCTTTTGTTCCACAGGTCTTCTTCTCCTAATGGCTATTTAATTGTTCTCATTAGGATGTTCGGGGGAAGGGAGCAGTCATTAGTCTTCTGAATAAAAGAAGAAACACGCCCATGGTTATTGCTTTGCCAGGCTCAACAAACAACTTCTGATGCTATAACAGCCCTTAAAGAGAGTAGTTAGACGCTGCTAGAATTGAAGTGGCACCCCAGGAACAATGTCCTCATCTGCTGATGGGAATGGATGACAGTGCTGATTCCATTTAGGTAAATATCTATCCACACACAAGCCTGTGTCTGTTTGTGTTTATTCAACATGTAGGTAAACAGTGCAAACACAGACTCTTGTTTACATACACACATATGCTTTCATGTGCACCTATATTTATATGATTTCTATAATTAATATTTATTATTGAGAGTCAAATATGAACTACGCTGAGGCATAGGGACTAGACCATTGCCAAGGAAGATAAGGTCCCTCTCAAACCTTATATTCAAGTTATTAATGAATACACAGAAAGAGTACAAACAAAATGACTTAAGTAACCAATGTGGGAGAGAGGGGGCCTACTTCACTTGGGTGCTTGGAGAAGAACATTCTGAAGTCACCTGGGTCCTGAGACAAGAAAGAATGAGAATGAGCTGGGGGCCAGGAAGGAGCCTTGCCAGAAAGGTTGTTGGGGAGACTGACTGGGGATGAAGAGAAGGGAGATTCATGCCCACCTTCAGACCCTGAGAGGAGACTTGTTTTATTTTAAAAAGCAATGGAAATGCATTGGGTAATTTTCCGGGGATGTATTATAAGCTAAATACCTTTTATTAAATGGGAAAGCAAGGCTAGAAGTTGACAGGCCAGCTAGGAGACCTCAACTGAATTCCAAGTCAAAAAAGCAAACAAGAAAAGCAGGGAGGCAGGAAGTCAGGGAGGCAGGAAGGGGAGAGACTGACTCAAGAATTCAGGATAAGTGTGGAAGGTAGAACCATCAGAGACTGAAACTGTATTAAATCTGGAGAAGGAAAGAGAGATAGTCGAATGGTAAGCATTATTGCTTAAATAGGAAATGTTCTCCAAAGACTCATGTTTTGAATGCTTTTTCTCCAGCCAATGGTGCTATTTTAAGAGGCTATAGAAACTTTAGGAGGTGGGACCTCACTAAAGGGAGATCACCTGGATGAGCCGTTGGGTATACATTATCTCTGACCTCTTCCCGTGGTGTATCTGTTTCCTGTCCACCAAGAAGTGAACAGCCTCCGACACACTATCCAACCACCATGACATTCTGTTTTAAACTCCTGTGGGGCCAAGTAACCATAGAATGAACTCTCTGAAACCACGAGCCTAAGTCTTCTGTCACAAGGAAGAAAGAACTAGTACACTAGTGAGGCATGTAGTGAGACTTGTTAAAAGATTACATTTTGGCAGTAGAACCAAGATCTTCTGTCCTGGATCAGAGAACAGAGGAGAAAAATTTTAAATGGGGTACTGGGAGCACTGAAAAGATCAAAGTAGGTCATATGCATGTATGAAAATGTCACAATAAATCCATTATTTATGCAATTAATATATAAATGAAAATTAATGCATTAAAAAAAGAACCCCCCTGCCTTGTGAACATTAAGCTTGAGATGCCTATTAGGCATCTAAAGAGTGAAACCAAGTAGTCTGTTGGAAAGATGGGTCTAGAGCTCACATAGGGTTTAGAATGTGCTAAGTGTAAAACAAGACCAGATATTCAAATATAAAAACAACTAAGGAGGGGCTGGAGAGATGGCTCAGTGGTTAAGAGCACTGACTGCTCTTGCAGAAGACCCAGGTTCATTTCCCAGCACCCACATGGTGGCTACGAACTTTACCATACATGCAGGCAATACATTCATCACATAAAATAAAAATAATAAAATATTTTTTAAAAATAAAAATAAATAAACAACTAAGGCATTCTTGGATGCTGCGTATTTGTGATAAAGTAGCTGAGTCCTACATTGGTCTAACCTGTTTAAGTTTCTAAGATGGTGTTTTCTAAGATGGTATTTCTAAGATGGTGTTGGTGAAGCAGATCAACTGTGAGGGTACAAGAAACTAGTGGAGAAGGGAAAGAGACCACAGGTAGGTGGCCCGCAAGTCTGCTCTTCTGCTCTCTTCCCTGTATCCAGCACTCTCTCTGTCCAGAATCCTTGAGCCCACACAGAGCTCTCTAGGATGACCCCATGGGCCTACACAGTCCCCATGTATCATTTCAGCAGGGCTGAGCACTCTACTGGGACATCACATGCTCCTAAGAGCCATCTTAAGCCATTCATCACGTTCTGCTTCAGAAAACCTGTGTCTCTTTCCTACAGACTTCCATTGCCTACCTATGAGAAGAAATGTGGTGATACAGAACAGCAATAGGACCATTCAAGTTAACCACCTGAGGCAAACTCCCTGAAGCAAACTCTCCTGCTCCTAACCAAAAGACTGGAGCTCAGAACATGGTGTCAGAGATAAAAGTTTCAGTACTAGTCTCTAAGTCTTGGTTGATATTAGTCTGAGTGCATGAATCATCTAGGTAGAAGTCTTTTACTCTCTCTTTTTTTCCTGTTTGTCCTCTACATACAACATCATCTGAGTAAAAGTTGAATGATAGGGGCCGAGGAGATAGTTCAGTCAGTAAAGTGCTTGCCATGGAAGCATAAGGACATGAGTCGGATCCCGGCACACATAAAAAGCCAGTTGTGGTAGCACAAGCTTATAATCCAAGCACTGGAGAGGTTCATACAGGTAGATCCCTAGGGCTCACTGGCCAGCCAGCCTAGCCTAATCAGAGAGCCCCAGGTCCCAGCAAGAGACCCTGTCTCAAAAACAACATAGATGGCTCCTGAGAAATAACACACAAAGCTGATCTCTGGCTTTCACCTGTATGTGTTACATGTGCGTGCACACACACACACACACACACACACACACACACCACACACACACACACACACACACACACACACACACACACACACACACAAAGATAAAAAAGCCACACACACACACACACACACACACACACACACATATACACAAAGTTAAAAAAGTCCCAAACTTCTAAATTCACAAGGGAACCCTGGCAGAACACTGGACATCTCTCTAGCCTCTGCCTTTATTTAGCTCCTAGCCTACTCTAGTGCTCCTATAAACATAACCTATGCTTCAGAAGCTCAGCAACAGCGGCCTGCAGGGATCCCATGCTCACTGAGCATGCTCTGGTCAGGATGGGTGCCTCTGGTAAGACAAGAGGCAACCAGTGGGAATGAGCAATTCAAGAGGCAAAAGTAGTCCAGGTGCACTGGGGAGCCTGTCTCCTCTCTGAGAAAGGAACAGGCAGTGAGCCTGCCAGGGGTTCTGGGGAGCCCCAGGCGGAAAGCAGGCTGCCATCCATGTCCTCTTACAAAGGTCATACTTGGCTACATCAGGCAGAAATGTCAAGAGAAAATTGGATTCTGAAAGAAAGAAAATCACAGGCACTCTGGGCAAATAAAGAATAAGAAATAGCATTATCTCCTCCTTATTACAAGGGAAAGGAGGGTGAGCACCTGGGATGCCTAGTAAAGAGGAAGTGGGCTTTTATTCCTGGGGATGGGCAGTTTCATCTTCTGCCCACGCCTCCTTCACCCACCAAGCTCCACCTGCAGGGGAACGGTCCTTTGGATTCCTCTAGCACTTAATGGAGTATCCACGGCAGCACTCAGACACTGTTTGCACACACATGCAGCCCCGTGCATGTTTCCAGATACAAAGGCACTACTTTGCAAGTCCAAGAGAAAGCACAAAGTGAATAACCTGTGCCCATTGCTGTGTCTGAGAAAACAGAGTCACTGAGTTCCAGAGACAAGCATACACAGCAAAGATAAGAAGTAAGGCAAACATTCACACTACAAAACAAGCAGGGTGTACCCCTGGCCGTACTACCCCCTCAGGAACTTATGCATTCTCAGGATGCAGGAAAGATAGGGAAACTGAGGCATAGAGCTCTGATAAGCATCACCACCCACTCAGAACTCCCTATCCTAGTTTTCCTTCTAGGTAACACTTCGCCTGTGTTCCTCTGTCACCAGTTATTGATGAACTAGTTATGCTGCTCATCAGACAAGGTTTAATTAAGAGTTATTCTGCCTCTGAGCCTCATGGCAGCCTCCTCCTGGTGCCTCCTCCCTAGCAGATCCATTATCACCTGCCTCTGACTTTTACTTGGGTCAATGGCCAGTGTCCAAGACACCCAACCATTGAATTAATTTGGTGAGTGAGATTTTATGAGATGAGGCATCAAACACTTCCCCCAAATCAAATTCCCTCCCCTCTCTCATCTGAGACTCCCAAATAAAGCCATTAATTTTGTTCTGCACAACTGGCTCTTTCTCAGACAGACTCTGGGGTCCAGAGGTAATAAACGATGATAATGTGACTACTGGGCACTCTGGGAACAAAGAGACAGATACACATATGGCCATATTCTGGGCTCTGGGGAGAGACAGGTATGAGAAGGCCCAGCCTACATTAGCCAGGTGGAGAACAGGGATCTTCTGAGGCAACCTCCCACTCTGACTGATGAGCAGG